GCTCCTCCCTGCCGACCCTGCTTTCTGCGGCCCCCTGACGACGGCCTGTTCCGGCCCGCCCCCCACCCCCCGGTGGGGATGCCCTCGCCCTCGTTGGGGCCCCTGCCCTGCTTTCTGCGGCCCCCTGACGACGGCCCGTTCCGGCCCACCCCCCACCCTCCGGTGGGGATGCCCTCGCCCTCGTTGGGGCCCCTGCCCTCTCCTGCGGCCCCCTTCCGACGGCCCGTTCCATGGCCCGGCCCTCGCCGGCGGCCCCGCCCTCCTCGGCCCCTGTGGTGCTTCCTCCCGACGCGAGGATTGTGTCCATGGTTGAATTCTGGGGGGGCTTGTGTAGTGATCACTGATTCATACAGTGGGGTTACATAATTCAATCCAGGAACTACAGGTTGGGGGTATTGTTTCCGCCCGGACATATATGTTGACGGTACCTCCGGGGTGCCTACTGTGTGTCCTCCTCTTTCATTTTCTCTTCTCTTCTCAGCCTGCGACCCGACAGCATGTCGATTTCTGCTCCTCAATAAACTGAGATTTGCACCTTCGATGCACCGCCTCCGTCTCCCTTCTCTCGGCACTACATATATATATATATATATATATATATATATATATATATATATATATATATATATATATATATATATATATATACATACATATACATATATATACGGTGCAATAATTCTTTCATGCTAAATGAAGCTCTGTTGCTTGGATATCACTAGATCCTGTTACAGCGTAATATAAAAGTACATAACGATTGATGTGTAAATTTGCATAATTAAACCCAGGGTTGCCAACTCTCACACATCTGGCGTGTGACACACGCTTTCACTCTCAATCTTACGCTCTCACGCTGCCCAAACTATTCTCACGCCAAAAACAAGAATTCGAAGACTAGAAACTGTTTTGAAAACTTTTGTCACGTAGTGATCGTCTTCTCAATAGAACATCTTTGATAATGTTTTCTGGCCAATCAGAATCACGATAACGGCGTGGTGTTGTTGCAGGAAGTCCCGACGGAGAATACTTTTGCGGTAGTACATCTCTATACATCGATACAACATTACGATTGTTGTATCGATGTATAGAGATGAAATAAGACCCCACGGTTTGATGATTGATAGGTGTGTGGGCTGTCTTTCATTTTGACACACAGAACAATGGGGGCTATCCACCCTTATCCACAATGTAAAGTAATTCACACAGCCTCTTCCCTCTTCTCTCTGTGAGGAGCAGCACTGCTGCAGCAGGTTCAGCTTTCAGAACAAAGTAACAAAAAACAAAAATGGCATTCATTTTTTTAAATATGTCGTGTAGTAATAGATTTATTTATTTTTCTTCTCAAGAGAGTACCAGAATGTGTATTTTATGTTAGTATTTTAAAAAATCTCCTGGGGGAGAATCCCCCCAGACCCCCCTGCAGAGGTTGGGTTTTCAGCATGTCAACTCTTTCACCTGTGGGGAAATTGCAGGATTGGCTCCAGGTCGCCCTTTTTATTTACTACAAGACAAATGTGCCTTTTTATTTCATACAGTTCAATTTGGATTGAGACAGGGAAATAATCTGTCGGGGGGAGCGTGTATGTAATTACATTGCAAATACTGACTTGAGCCCCACCACTGTATGGGTTAGCCCTACCATAGATTACCCAACAAAAATACTCTGGAGCGCATGCGCAGATCTAAGATCCAGTAGAAATGATAAAAAAGTAAAAGTCTGCTGCTTATTGTTCTACTAGGCCAAAATAGAGTCAAAGAGTATATGAGAGTGAGAGTGTGTTAATTAATATATTTGGCAGTTTGGAGTAAGTCTGTAGATTTGTTTGTGTGTGTGTGTTTCATGTATAGGCTTCTCACGATAATTAATTTTGTTGGATACATTTTCCCGGAAATTATTGCGATAAACGATAATATTGTCGGCACCGTTGTATGACCATTTTAGACCACTGACATAATGATAATATATAATAATAATTCAAGTACATCCTTTCAAACTGCTAGTCACATCCTCATGTAAATGGCAATTTATCGAGGTCAGAAAAGTTATCGAGTTCATTTTTATTTATCGTACGATAAGTCAATTAATTGCTTATACAATAAAACAGTGGAAACAAAGATGTTTGACTTTCACTAGTGAATGAAACTGTGTGCCCTTTATAGTCTGTGTCCATTATTGTGTATTTGTATATATTGTACTATATATATCCTATATATATGCTAAGGTCCCGCTGCTGACACGATAGCAGTCATTTCGTGCGCATATGTGTAATTAAACCGAATTAAACCCATGATATCAAAATCTCACTCCAGCCAGGTACCCAAAGTTGGCAACCCTGGCTAACCGCTAGCTGCTAACTGCTGCCTCGTTAATATCAAATCTATCATAATAACACCCATTACCATGCTGTCATGAACGTGCGATGCTGTTACGTGTACGCAAATTGACGTGCTTGATGTGAAAGAGCATTTTGGGGGGCATGGTTAAAGTTGCGCTATGAGCGCACATACGGGTACTTCTCAGGCATGCCGGGTAATCTGTGACGTTTCGCTCTCTCAAAAGTTGGGCCATTTTATCATCATGCGCGAATGAGCAACTCTCATAGAAATGAATGAGGCCCCGCCTCCCACGCTGTATCCAGTTCTTATTATACATCCATGATCCCAAGCCCCCAGGAAGTGCGCCGGACTCAGATGAAAATATTCGTGGTGGCCAAACGGCGGTACTACACTTCCGTTTGGTTGCCAGGCCTGGAAACACTTTTTCCCATTGACTTACATGGGGAAAGAGTGGTCTGTAAATCGTTGGATAATTTTGGTCTGGTGTTTGGTTATATATATACAGTCTATGTGTCAGACGAGCGAATGTGCACATTTAAATTTCAGGAGAATAATGAAGATGTGATTGGTTGTTCCACTCCGTTTCTCACGAGACCAGCGCGCTGCTGTTTACATTAGTGTGGAGTCACGTGACACATGAATATATATAACGGGCTGTAAGTGCATGAAATGCATGTGGGGTTTTAGCATGAGCTGGAGACACATCAATATCATATCAGGCTTAAAAGTGCATGAAATGCACAGGGGTTTTTAACGTGAGACGGTGGCACATGAACGAGTATCCGGGCTTAAAAGTGCATGAAATGCGCGGGGGTTTTAACGTGAGAAGAATGGTGACATACATTTCCTATCAGGCTTAAAAGTGCATGAAATGCGCGGGGGTTTTAACATGAGAATGGTGACATATATATATGTTGTAATCTTGAATGTAATGTTATTATACCCCCACTCATCCAGTAAAAATAAAATGATACAAAAAAAGAAAGAAAATAAATCACATTAACGAGCTGGAAGTAGTTCAAATGCATTAGAGCTCAACGGGGAAAGGTAACCATGGTGATACTTCTGTGCAGCCCCTGTAAAAACACATCATCAAATGATTTAGATTTTAATGTGCACATGTCAGTTAGCAGCTTCAACTTTCAAATAACTACTAAGATCAATACTTTGAATCAATGATTAGCTAAAAAATCACAACTGGATCTCTATGAAGGAACATGGATTCTTGATCTCGGGAACAGCCGTTAGACGAAACAATCTGTGTTCAGGTCCGTTTACAAGCTTTTGTCTGGCTGTCTTCTCTCAGCGAGTTTGCTCAGTTGTCATCACATAATCATGAAATGTGAAACTTTGATCACATGCCATTTGTTTTTCAGGTATCTGTGCGCTACCACATGCAACTGTTTAACACGTGGATGAAGACGGAGCAGAGTGCGGCTGCAGATTCCCCCGCCCTCCCACACCTCTTCAGGGAGCAATTACCAAAGGAGCCTTTAAACCTGAGAAGAGAACAGGTTCTGTACCTTTCTTCAAATCAGAGCAGTCATCCTAGAACCTGAACACCCTGCTACAAGGGAGCTGACTGGACTTTTGTATGTGGTTCACAAAATCTGACCAACTACTTTAACAAAGAATTCAAGCAATGAAGTATTTCAGAAAAACTGTAACTGAGTAAATGATCTAAGAATCTTGACTTCACCATGAAGTGTTCAGTGAAACTACTTACTGAAGAAATAGTCCCTACAAACACTGTTCATAAAAAAAGATTCATTTATGTGAACGTATGCAAGGTGATGAGACAATAGAGCAATTTCCTCTTTCTGGTGAAGTGGAGTTATGTAACAGTGAGTGGCAGCAGGACATGAACCATTTCTTCTGTAGCATTCTCAGTATACAGCAGTGCAAAAAATGCTTGAGCTCGTCCCATTTACGTTGGAAGCCGAAGTTCAGAATTGGGAGTGACGTCAGGAAAAAGATGGTCACGGATTGTGAGCAATACTGGTTGATAACTACGCTTTATTTTGTGAATACAAACATGGTAGCATCATATACACAGATAGAAGATGAGCAGTACCATTTGTACAGTTGATATCATGGGACACCAATAATACAGAAGAGCTAAAAATGTCCTCTTATCAAGGTGTTCTCTTAATGTTCATATGTGCAGACTCCATGTTGAATGATGATCTTGGGTATGGCGAGGCGTCTGTCAGCTCCCAAGTAGGGAGTGCGACCTCATGGGGCGCTCCAGTTGAAATTTCCCAGTACAACTGGAACACACCAATATATCAGCATGCAGGTAAAACGCTAACTATGTACACCATGTTACATGATCAGTAAGCATTCTGATGAAGTGTTTTCATTGACCCTGGTCCAGGATTGTCAGTTTTAACTACCTCAAATTGCTTCATGTTTTTCCAATGCTGTGAACAAATAAAACTAAAACCACCTGCATTGCTACAAACCACTAAAATGTGTTTAAAAACATGCAAACTTTTTGCCAAGCAAGCCTATAACAGTAATTCTGTCCGACTTTCAGCTTCCTTCCTGCTGTTTCTCAGACTGTGAGACATTCACCACTGGGAGCACCTTCTAGAATTTCCCACCAAATTAAAATATAATTGCATTCTTTAATAATTAGAGCCAAGTGACCGGAGTGCATTTATATAACTTTATTATGACTGAGTTTTATTTCACACACACATTCATTTAAATAAGATCAAGTCAAGGCAAAGCTCTTGTCTTGTGCACTGAGGAATACTGAGGTTGATGGTGTAGCTCTGAGGCATCGAGGCTCTCCGCTCTCCGCAGCAGAGGTTTGCACTCCAAGGCTCCGCAGCGTCACATGACGGCACAGCTCGCCTCATTGGATAGATCCTTGAAAGCAAAGCAGCAGCGGTAACATATTTCATCAGTGACCAACGGGGGGTGGGGGGGGGCACATGCTGGGTCCTGGTTTGGCTGAGCATGCAGTTAGTGAGAGAAATGGCAGAAGAGCCTGCAGCACTTAATTATTGAATTAAGAGCACAAGTTATTTTCTCCATGAAACTAACTTGGCTTCATAGTTTAAGAAAAAAGTAATTATTCACTGTTCATTGTTGTGCAGAGAATGAATCACAAACAAGCATATCTCTCTGGAAGTAAGCAAACACTGAGCACTCCTCTATATAAAAGTAATTAATGAAGTTAATATGGCCCAACTCCAAAACTACTGTGGCCTGTACGACAAAACCCGGTCAGCAGACCCTGGATATGTTTGAGTTATCTGGCTTAACTAACCCTAACAAATGAGATCTCGCTGAGCGGTCCTACTACGCTGGTTATCAACTCTGTAAATCAACCCAGGGTTTCTCTGTCCGGCAGAGAGCGCGTTCACGTGAAAGGGGCGGGGTTAGCAACATTTGACCAATCACAAACATGGTCAAGCGTACTGACAGCGCAGCGTCATACTTCATGAACGAAAAGTAAACTATCACGGTAGACAAATATGAAAAAGTTAAACTTTAAACATCCATGACGTAAACACATAATCCAGGATAAAAGCCACATAGCTGCACCTGCAAGGTGCAGAAAGAACAGCTGGTAAAAAGAACTACCGAGTGTTTGAATGTGTACATTGACAGGTTTATAATATCACTGCCCCATCTAAGACATGAGTGGATCTGACTTTAATACTCCACTACTCATAGTACTAAACTCCTGGTACTAGGATGGGTTAAAAGCAGAGAACAAATGTCACTGTGTGTACGGTGTGCTCTGCATGTGTGACCATTAAAGAGGGTTTCATCCCTCCCAATTATATTATTATAATAACATTTGAGTGTTTCGTCAACTTAAAATGTTGTTTTAAATAACACTTCTGCATACAGTATGCAACAATGTAAGTGTTGCACGGCCAGATACGGCTCGTTGAGGCTGACAAAGATAAGGTCTTATATGATATATTATAATGTGATGTGATATGATTGATGCTGTGATCTTATGAATGATAAGTAGGACACGTCAGCGTCTGCACTCACAGTGTACGCAACAGTCAGAGTTACTTTGCTCCGGTTACTTTTGTTGTGGCAGATATTTAAGTAAGCTTGTTTAACGCAAATATTATAATTGTCAAATTGCTCTAAAGATGGGCAGTGACATTCTATTAATTGTCATATTCACACAGTCTGTGATTTTTGTCTGCCGTCTTTCCTGCATACAGCAGTTTAAACTGTATTTCCTTTACCCATGAATATGACTTGATAGCTTTACTCTCTGCACACTGAGCTCTGATTGGTCAGCAAGCGGTGCTTTCACTGAGTTGATCTCTTATCTGGAACATAACCTGCACCGGATCAGTGTTCAGCATGGAGATCTACCATTTAGACTGTAAGTGTAAATATGCACATTGACATTGAATTTTATCTCGTTGCACTCGTTTATTTATTTGTGTCTATTTTTTTACTGCAGTGAGAGTTGCCAAATACATTTTGTTGTACTTTGTATGATGACAATAAAGATATATTCTGTTCTATTCTACCCCGTTAAGAAGTGAACCAGCGTCGTAGGACCGAAAACTCAGAGTTAACCCTGAAGTTACCTCGCTACCCGCAAATCCTGCTTCGTAGTACAGGCCACTGATCTCTTCAGTGTTCTCTCTTTTCTTTTTCCTCTTTCTGTTCTTCCTCATCACTTCTCAGATTTCTTTTGTTGAATCACTCCAGCTACTCTGGCCTGCAAGAGTCTACTTGTGAAAAGCACTGGTAAAAATGATTGTATTACTTTACACGTTAGGGCAATGTAGCCGTCTGATAAGTAGCCTATAATACATATAAAACCAGAAAGGGTTTATCAAACGTGACGCACACAGGCAGCTGTGTTTAGAGCCAGTTAGAACCGTCAGGTAAAGGATGTATCCTGGTTTTTTATTTATGTTATGTATTTATCTGGCCTCATTGCTGTGATGTGTGAGAGTAACTTACGTGGATTTAATAGTACCGCATAGTTTAGCAAATAAAAGTGACCAATCTCCCAGCTAACGCTGTCTGTGTAGTATTTTGTAACCTAACGCCCCAAACAGCGACCGTCTGTTAAACGCTATCGATTCAAACAGGAACGTTTTATTAATATTTTGTTTCAAGCTCTCGTCTTTAGTAAAAACAAAACTAGTCGAAGGGGAAATGCTCCCAGGGGAATCTGATCCACCTTCAGGTGCTGAGACAGCTCGGTCTCTCTTCAGCTGTGTGAGCCGCGGTCTGTGTGAACGCCGCTCCGCAGTTTAATGCAGGGCCGTAGCTGCGTTTTTAACGGGCCTAAGATGATATTAAAATGATTCACTTTGAATGAATGTACTGCTTGTTTAGTTGCTTGAGAAGCTTGTGGACATAGTGTAGGTTTGTTTCTACAAGTACAGTTTTAGGGACACAAAAGTTAGGGGGCAGCTGCTCTACAGTGGGGGGCATCTGCCCCCCCTTGCCCCCCTGTAGATCTGCCCCTGCTACGTATTCATGTTACAGAAAACCATACACATGTATCAAACCCTAGTCTGTATACTGAGACAGATGACATTACCGGAATGAGCGCTCCATGGTTCATCCTGAGAACAGTGAGGCAGCCCACTGTCTGACCAAGCACGTTTAGCAGTTTGTTAGTACAACACAGAGGCAGCCATCATGTGAAACAAGCCATGCATGTGTGACTACACAGAGGTACAGGTACAGGCAGACAGGGGGGGGGGGGGGGGGGGGGGGTACCTACTGTACAGCACGCAGTCTGCTCTGCTCTCAAGAGACTGAACAACACTTCTTTCTCTTTGGCTTCAATGCGGGGAAGAGAAAAACAGTGACGTTAAGTTCCATGTACAAACTCTTTGTATCTGTAAGAAAACGTCCTCCTGTTTTTTTATTTTTTTATTGAAGACACATAGAAAAGACATTTGGTACATTGATAGGGACCACAGTTCAAAGCTACTAGTAACCATTTAGTCTCTACTATTGTGCATCAATTGACAAGCCATACATAGTTGATTTTCACTTGAAGGCATACAATATTTAAACCACCTTCACCGAGTTGTATCTGTTGTAATCTTCTGGGCACCCAAATATGGGGACAGACTTTCACAGTGAGTGAGAGTATTTTTTAGATATCCTCAAAAAACTTCTGCCAAAAGGATAATACTAATGGGCAGGAGAAGAACATATGGGATAGGTTGCAGGGAGAGGCTTGACATTTGTCACAGATGTCAATAACAGTGGGATATATTTGTGACAGTCGTGCCTTTGAGAAATGAATCCGAAAGCTATGTTACGCTCTGAAAACTGAAAACTAGGCTTATTGCCATAAATATGATGATGGATTATCAGTAATCATTTCAAAGTGACACATAGACATTGGATTAACCTTCAGCAGTGTTTTAATGCCATTGAACACAACTTTTGATCAGAAAACAGCAAAGGTAAGAGGTATTTACCGTTTTGGCTACGTAAAGCTACGTTGTGTGTTGTCTGGGTTTGCCTTCGCTGCCCTGAGTTCTGGTCGCACAGTGATGATACTTATACCTCGAGAAACTAATTCCAGTTTGTTCTTCCGAAACTATGGTTGGGAGAATATTTTCCAAGCGACGTGCTAAAGCCTTAGCAACTATTTTCGCATCCACATATATTAAGGAAAGTGGCCTATAAGAGCTGCAGACTTATGAAGGCTTGTCTTAAAGTGGGAGGAAGAGAGCCATTCCGCAGAGATTCCTTATACACCGAGTGTATTAATGGGGCCAATTCAGATTTACATCTTAAAAGAAATTCTACTGGGAATCCATCAGGGCCAGAAGCTTTTTTAATTTGCATGTTATTTATAGCGAGGATGATCTCGCCTAGGGTTAATGGAGAATCAAGTTCTTTTGAAACATCAGGACCTATGGTAGGGAAATTGAGATTGTCTAAGAAAGCGCCCATCTCAGAAGTGTCGATTCAGACTTGTATAGAGAAGAATAGAATGAGCCAAAGACTGAGTTAATGGTACTAGGATCGGTATGCACCGTGCCTGATACATCTTTTATCTGGAGGATCATACGTGAGGCTGCCTGACGACGCAATTGGTGGGCCAAAAGGCGGCTCGCCTTATCACCATGCTCATAATACGTTGAACGCGAGCGTAAAAGAAGGTGCTCTGCATCAGTAGTTGTCACTTTGGAAACAAGTTTGGCATCGATGAAGAAATAATCAATTCGAGAAAAGGATTTGTGCATAATGAGAAAAGAAGGAATATTCCTTAATGCAGGGGTTATAGAATCTCCAGGGATCAACGCAGCCGTTCTTGGACATGAAATCAGAAAGCGTTTTTGACACGAGTAATGCGGTCAGCGTTTTAGGAGAAGAACGATCTAGCCTGGGATTGACAACGAGGTTCATATCCCCTGCAAATATAAGCAGGTTTTTATGCAATGACGGGAGACATTCAAAAAGCTTGTTCATGAAGTGTGGGTTATCAAAATTTGGGGCATAAATATTGACTAACAATACAGGAACGTGTGCCTGAGATAATTAAATATCTGCCATTGTCATCCGCTATACCCTTGGAAGATGTGAAATTAACAGACTTACCAATTAAAATGTCAACCCCTCTGGACTTAGAGTTGAAGTTTGAATGGAACACCTCAGAAACCCATGGACACTTAAGCCTGACCTGGTCTGTGGTGCGCATATGGGTTTCTTGTAGAAACATTATGTCTGCATTAAGTCGTTTCAGATGAGCAAATGCCCTGGATCTCTTCAAGGGGCCTTTAATGTTCCAGCTTACTGTACAAACCTCACAGGTGAGCCAGTAGGAGCGATTCCTAAATTGCTAGTATTGGTGGACATTTACTGAGGACTTTCTATACAGAGAAAACTGAATATGAAGCTCCACCCCGAAAGAGACAGAGGGAAACCAAGCAATAATAAACAAATAAAATAAAAATACCTCCTGTTTTATAACTCCGTGTGTTTACCTGTCTCCGAAAGTGCTGGATGTCACTGCCTGCAACATACTCTTCATCAAACAGTTCAGCTTCCTCATCCCCTCTGTGCTGCATACACACCCTGCGCTCTGCCATTTCCTGGAAAAGGGATCACATGACTCCGATGATGAGTTCCATTCTACACTAACAGCTGAGACAAAATTATTTTAGGTAGTACTCTAAACAAACACCCCTCCAAGATGGCGGCGTGCTAGGTGGCAGCAGTTCCCGGTAAATAATTTCCCAAACTGGGATCACTAAAAGTATATCTTATTATTCTTACAAATGGATGGATTGATGGATCTAGAACACTGATGAGGGTATGACCCAGATTCTCTGAGGCCACTGTGGCTCAGGAGGAGTTTTCACCCATCGGTAAGGCGATGGTTTAAACCCCAGCCCCTGGGGTCAACATGTCAAACTGTCCATACTGCAGTTTTTGTGAGTGTGTGTCAAAATTTTTGGCTCCTTATGAGCACAGTATAGTACACTGCCATGAGTATGTGTGAAAACTGACTTTTGACTGCAGTGATTAAAGCAAACTCCCGGAATGTAAACACTGCTCAACCTACCTCATGGTCCTGGTTGAGGAGAATCACCCTGACATCAGTGACAGGGACCCAGCTATTCTGGCCCTGCAGAACCAGGTCCCCAGGATCAGCTTCCGCCTCAGCCCCTGCTGCCCAGATCTGACACACACACACACACACACACACACACACACACACACACACACACACACACACACACACACACACACACACACACACACACACACACACACACACACACACACACACACACACACACACACACACACACACACACACACACACACACACACACACACACACACACACACACACACACACACACACACACACACACACACACACACACACACACACACATTATAGTTTGCTTTGTCTGCAGGGAAGCTGTGGAGAACACAGTAACAGTGAGCACTCACTGTGAGCATCTGGCCAGCAGAAAGGCTGCAGGAGGGGGGGATGTGGAATGAGAGGTCTCCAGAGTGGGGGTATAATCTCCGGACCACCCAACCCCCCAGCGGTTGCTCCTGGAGACGATGACATGAGACAAACAAGCAGTTTAATATATACATGTCATTTTGTTGCATAATAGTGATGTTCTGCAGGGGGTCCCACTTTGAGTCCACTCAAAAAGCCATCTGAACACATCATGAGAGAGAGTGAAGCACAGCAGTCTGAGAAGGGGGGGGGCTGTGTGTCATAATGACATTGTTGAGAAAACCAAGGTAATGCTCTTTTCTAAAGCTAAAAAGACTCCAGAGACTGCTTTGGATATTGTGACTATGCAAGGAGAAGTACTCCAAGTGGTTAGCTGTTATAAATACCTTGGTATCTGGCTTGATGATTGTCTTACTTTTAAACTTCATGTCAATAACCTGCTTAAAAAGCTGAGGGTTAGGCTAGGTTTCTTTTTCAGAAACAAGTCCTGTTTCTCTTTTGAAGCCAGAAAAAGGCTAGTCTCTGTGACCTTTTTACCTGTGCTGGACTATGGTGATCTGATCTATATGAATGCACCTGCCCATTGCCTGATCAAGTTAGATGCCGCCTATCACAGTGCTCTGAGATTTGTTACTAACTGTAAAGCACTTACTCATCACTGTACCCTGTATGCCAAGGCAGGTCTGCCTTCACTTACTGTACGGAGGCTCAGTCATTGGTACATATTCATCTATAAAGCCATGCTGGGTAAACTACCAACTTATATCTGCTCTTTGATCTCACGGAGAGTGGCAAGTAGCTATTGCCTGAGATCCCAGGATGTGTTTTTATTACATGTGCAAAGTGCTAGGACTGTTTTAGGTAAAAAAGCTTTTATGTGCGCTGCTCCTCTAGCTTGGAACACTATGCAAAAAACATTGAAACTGAGCATTTTGGTTCCCTTGCATCATTTTAAAGCGCGGCTGGATGAAATGTTATTAGATACCTGTCATTGTGAATAGGTTGCTAATTTATACCCCTGTAATTATGTTGTGATGTCCTTTTTGTTTTCTGTTGTTTTTATGTGTAACCAATGTACCGCAGGTCTCCCTTGAAAAAGAGATCGTTGATCTCAATGGGATTTTTAACCTGGTTAAATAAAGGCTACAAACATTAGGAATAGGCCTATGTCACACTTCCTGCTTCCGGAACGTTAAAAATCGCCGAGCAGTATACACATACCTCCGGTAGTTAGTTACCATAGTTACGTGACAAACTATGGACGCCTCCTCTCGTCGCTGTTATTGTAGTGTACCGGGCTGCTCAACGTCAAAACAAAGACAGCTGTACCTCAGTTTTCACGATTTCCCGAAAAACGAACTCCTCCACAAGTCTTGGGTGAGGCTGATAAGGAGGGATGAAGGTCCCTCGTTTAATGTTCTCAGGGGTAGCACTTTTGTCAGCAGTTTGCACTTTGACAAGGAGAGCATATACGTCTCGAAAAGTGGGCGGAAGAGGCTAAAAACGATGTTACACCAAGCCGGTTTCCCTGGAATAGCTGGGGGGAGAATCGGACTCTTCGCCAGTCAGTTTTTGCGTTAATGCACGCCCTGGAGTAAGTGAGGAGCTTCAGGCTTGCACGAACAGCCCACCGCCTCAGACGACCGAGAACCCGCCTCAGACCACAACTACTATGCCCGCAACTCCTCTGGTGTAGTGGATGCTGCTGCTACTGAAACCAACAGGCAACTGGAAGCTAAGATCAGGAGTTTTGAAAGTCAACTGAGGGACATTTCTTGTACACTGAACATCAACAGGTATTGTGCGACTGACGAGGAATTCCGATTCTACACCCGATTTCCGTCAGAGAAAGTGTTTTGGTCGTTTTGGGAATCCGTCGCCCCCTCAGCTTCCAGATTAGTGTATTGGAGCAGAGCCCAGAGGACAAGTGATGCCATGGCACTAGAGAAACCGAGCCCTAACAGGAGGCTAGCACTTGTGGATGAACTCTTTCTCTACTGCTGTCAAGTTGCCGTTGGCATGAACGAGAAAGTGATTGCTGACATCTTTGGCATCAGTATCACTACAGTGAGCAGAGTGATAATTACATGGACTAATTATCTATACATTGTTTTGGGGTCAGTGCCAATTTGGATGACAAGGGAACGGGTGCAAGCAACAATGCCACAAAAATGTGTTAGTTACTGTCCAAATGTGCGAGTGATTCTAGACTGCACAGAGATCAGATGTGAGGCACCATCATCAGTCACCCTCTAGTCTGACACGGCAGTCAGGGATCCTCCGCCTACTTGAGCCTGGAGATGCGTGCATGGCTGACAAAGGCTTTGTCATTGACCAGATGCTGTCTGAAGTTGGGGCAACCCTCGTAATCCCCCCATTCAAAAGAGGCACCAGGTTCAGCAGAGAGGACACTGAAAAAACCCAGAGCATCGCCCGACCAAGGATCTTGGTGGAGAGGGCCATCAGAAGGGTAAAGGAATATCATATCTGGGACACAACCTTTCCTTTGACCCTTTCAGGCTCTGTCAATCAGCTATGGGCAACTTGTTGCTTAATGTCTAACTGTCAAGGCCCTTTAGATGTGAAGGGTGATTTCCCAGTGTGAAACCATCCATCCATCCATCTTCTCCCGCTTATCCGGGGTCGGGTTGCGGAGGTAGCAGTTCCAGCAGAGAGCCCCAAACGTTCCTTTCCCTGGCCACATCAACCAGCTCTGACTGGGGGATCCCAAGGCGCTCCCAGGCCAACGAAGAGATATAATCCCTCCACCTGGTCCTAGGTCTACCCCTCGGTCTCCTCCCAGCGTAGTAATCAGCAGCGAACCGCTTCAACACGTGTATTTTGGTGTATTCACGGCATTCATTTTGTTATTCTACAGTATTGTTGTTTTATAGTTATTTGTTAATGTAAATAACCCAATTTGTGTTCTTTGAAATTGAAAAGGATATCGCATTGTGTTTGTTACTTTTGTTGCAGTTGTATATGTCTTAAGTGTCATTTGGCTTGGCTTCCTATTTATGGACATGCTTTTATTTTGAAGGAGAGTTAGTGCAGTTGACAGGAAGTTGTTGTTGCTTTGGAAACAACGTGACGGAGATTAACGGAGAAAAGTAATATCTACATATAAAGACGGAGAAAGTAAACGATAACGTTTATGGTTAAGTGTTAGCACCCCCTGAAGAGGCACAAGCTCTTACGTTGCTCTTATATTGGAGATTTCAATAAATTCAATTTGAAGAAAAATGGGAAATAAACGAAAAAACAAACAAAACGAATATCCGAATAACGAAATTGAAACCCGAATAGTACTCCAACGAAAGAATATTCGGGTACAGCCCTAGTCCACACGGCAGTGTGCGTTGAAGCTTGCCGGCGGGCGTGTCTGAAGCTCGACCAACAACCAATCACATGAATCTCCCGCCCTGGACACACAAGCACGCGGTTTGATTGGCTAGACTCGAGCTTGTACTGGCATATGATTGGATTGGCTGACGCTTCCGTTGAAGCTTGAAAAGTTGAACTTTTCTCAACTTTTGAAGCAAGCAACGGAACCACAATGCAGTTCGGCAAAGCGTGACGTCACCCCATTCAAAGTGAATGGGAAGCTGCGTTGAAGCTTCAACGCACGCCGCCGTGTGGACGGGCCGTAACCGCTCAAAGTACTTCATGATGATGGAGGTGAGTGCCACTGGGCGGTAGTCGTTGAGGCTGATTTTTGAGGGACAGGAACGATGGTGGAGTGTTTGAGGCATGTGGGGACTACAGACTGCAGCAGGGACCTGTTGAAGATGTCTGTGAACACCTCTGCCAGCTGAACTGCACACACCCTGAGAACACGGCCAGGGATGCCAATGGAAAATATGTATTTGTGTCTTGAAGCAACGGGTGTGTGGGACATTTGAGCTAAGAATTCATGCTAAAAAGTGGGAATAAAGTTCCCCACTGTCCAGTGGCATTACAGTCTTACCGTCTCAGAGTTGTTCTTCAGTCTGATATATTTCCCGTCCATGTCGACTCCGGCCACGCTCACAGAGCCGTGCTGTGTTGCATGGCTGCTCGAGGCTCCCTCGTGTTTCCGCTTCTTCCCTCTAAGCTGCCGGCTGCTGTGTTCATGTGTCCGAGGGACGGCTGAGTGCTGGGAGGGGCTGGGGGTTAGCTGCAGTCTGCGAAGAAAATCTGATTTATTTGGATTAAAAGAGACCAAGTCACATTTAATCCATATAGCCTAATATCATAAAGTACAAATATGCCCTCATTAATAAATTAAAAAAAGTCCTTGCAGCTGCAACATTAAGTTATTTCAACATCAACAGGCGCCGCCATGACCCCTGAGCCGGACTGGGAGCAGAGCAGCAGCCGGGCTCTGCTCCTGATGTATGACAGCAGATTGTACAAAGATGACATCCGTACCTCTGCTCCTCAGCTTCCAGCATCTTCCTGTAGGCATTGATCTCCATGTCCAGCGCAAGCTTAACATCCAGCAGGTTCTCGTAGTCTACCAGCTGGGTAAACATCTGGCTCCTGATGTTCAGCAGCTCCTGCTCCTTCTGACCCAGTCTCTGCTGCCACACCTCACGCTCCTTGTCCAGAGTCCTCTCCAGATCATGAAAGCTGCCCTCCAGCAACATTTTCTGACGGAGAAAGGAAAAAGAATAAGACGACAAATGCTGGCAAGAGAGAATCAACAAAGCAAATCAAAGGGAATCTTCGGGTTATAGTCAAACAGGTTTTACACCACTGCCGTTGCCCCATACTTCAGCTGCCCTGCTTGGATCATCTTCCAATACATTTTTACCTCAAGTTCAAACCTGAGGTTTAGTGGCTGCACAGGTGAGACCTGAGCCTGGCGTTCTGTAAACAGATGTGTGTGTGTGTTCTGTAAACACAGGTGTGTGTGTGTGTTCTGTAAACAGATGTGTGTGTTCTGTAAACAGACGTGCGTGTTCTGTAAACAGACGTGCGTGTTCTGTAAACAGACGTGTGTGTTCTGTAAACAGATGTGTGTGTTCTGTAAACAGACGTGTGTGTTCTGTAAACAGATGGTGTTCTGTAAACAGACATGTGTGTTCTGTAAACAGATGGTGTTCTGTAAACAGACGTGTGTTCTGTAAACAGATGTGTGTGTTCTGTAAACAGATGGTGTTCTGTAAACAGATGTGTGTGTTCTGTAAACAGACGTGTGTGTTCTGTAAACAGACGTGTGTGTTCTGTAAACAGATGGTGTTCTGTAAACAGATGGCGTTCTGTAAACAGATGTGTGTGTTCTGTAAACAGACGTGTGTTCTGTAAACAGATGTGTGTGTTCTGTAAACAGATGTGCGTGTTCTGTAAACAGATGTGCGTGTTCTGTAAACAGACGTGCGTGTTCTGTAAACAGATGGTGTTCTGTAAACAGACGTGTGTGTTCTGTAAACAGATGTGCGTGTTCTGTAAACAGATGTGTGTGTGTTCTGTGTGTGTTCTGTAAACAGATGGTGTTCTGTAAACAGATGTGTGTGTTCTGTAAACAGATGGTGTTCTGTAAACAGATGGTGTTCTGTAAACAGATGTGTGTGTTCTGTAAACAGACGTGTGTGTTCTGTAAACAGATGGTGTTCTGTAAACAGACGTGTGTGTTCTGTAAACAGATGTGTGTGTTCTGTAAACAGACGTGTGTTCTGTAAACAGATGTCTGTGTTCTGTAAACAGATGTGTGTGTTCTGTAAACAGACGTGTGTGTTCTGTAAACAGACGTGTGTTCTGTAAACAGATGTGTGTTCTGTAAACAGATGTGTGTTCTGTAAACAGATGTGTGTGTTCTGTAAACAGACGTGTGTTCTGTAAACAGATGTCTGTGTTCTGTAAACAGATGTGTGTGTTCTGTAAACAGACATGTGTGTTCTGTAAACAGACGTGTGTTCTGTAAACAGATGTGTGTTCTGTAAACAGATGTGTGTTCTGTAAACAGACGTGTGTTCTGTAAACAGACATGTGTGTTCTGTAAACAGATGTGTGTGTTCTGTAAACAGACGTGTGTTCTGTAAACAGACATGTGTGTTCTGTAAACAGACGTGTGTTCTGTAAACAGACGTGTGTTCTGTAAACAGATGTGTGTTCTGTAAACAGACGTGTGTGTTCTGTAAACAGACGTGTGTGTTCTGTAAACAGACGTGTGTTCTGTAAACAGATGTGTGTTCTGTAAACAGACGTGTGTGTTCTGTAAACAGACGTGTGTGTTCTGTAAACAGACGTGTGTGTTCTGTAAACAGACGTGTGTGTTCTGTAAACAGACGTGTGTTCTGTAAACAGACGTGTGTTCTGTAAACAGACGTGTGTTCTGTAAACAGACGTGTGTTCTGTAAACAGACGTGTGTGTTCTGTAAACAGACGTGTGTGTTCTGTAAACAGACGTGTGTTCTGTAAACAGATGTGTGTTCTGTAAACAGACATGTGTGTTCTGTAAACAGATGTGTGTGTTCTGTAAACAGACGTGTGTTCTGTAAACAGACATGTGTGTTCTGTAAACAGACGTGTGTTCTGTAAACAGACGTGTGTTCTGTAAACAGACGTGTGTTCTGTAAACAGACGTGTGTGTTCTGTAAACAGACGTGTGTGTTCTGTAAACAGACGTGTGTTCTGTAAACAGATGTGTGTTCTGTAAACAGACGTGTGTGTTCTGTAAACAGACGTGTGTGTTCTGTAAACAGACGTGTGTGTTCTGTAAACAGACATGTGTGTTCTGTAAACAGACGTGTGTTCTGTAAACAGACGTGTGTTCTGTAAACAGACGTGTGTTCTGTAAACAGATGTGTGTTCTGTAAACAGACGTGTGTGTTCTGTAAACAGACGTGTGTGTTCTGTAAACAGACGTGTGTGTTCTGTAAACAGACGTGTGTGTTCTGTAAACAGACGTGTGTGTTCTGTAAACAGACGTGTGTTCTGTAAACAGACATGTGTGTTCTGTAAACAGATGGTGTTCTGTAAACAGACGTGTGTGTTCTGTAAACAGACGTGTGTTCTGTAAACAGATGGTGTTCTGTAAACAGACGTGTATGTTCTGTAAACAGACGTGTGTTCTGTAAACAGATGTGTGTGTTCTGTAAACAGACGTGTGTTCTGTAAACAGACGTGTGTGTTCTGTAAACAGATGTGCGTGTTCTGTAAACAGATGTGTGTGTTCTGTAAACAGATGTGTGTGTTCTGTAAACAGATGGTGTTCTGTAAACAGACGTGTGTGTTCTGTAAACAGACGTGTGTTCTGTAAACAGACGTGTGTTCTGTAAACAGACGTGTGTTCTGTAAACAGACGTGTGTGTTCTGTAAACAGACGTGCGTGTTCTGTAAACAGATGTGTGTGTTCTGTAAACAGATGTGTGTGTTCTGTAAACAGACATGTGTGTTCTGTAAACAGATGGCGTTCTGTAAACAGACATGTGTGTTCTGTAAACAGACGTGTGTTCTGTAAACAGACGTGTGTTCTGTAAACAGATGTGTGTTCTGTAAACAGACGTGTGTTCTGTAAACAGACGTGTGTGTTCTGTAAACAGACGTGTGTGTTCTGTAAACAGATGTGCGTGTTCTGTAAACAGATGTGTGTGTGTTCTGTGTGTGTTCTGTAAACAGATGGTGTTCTGTAAACAGATGTGTGTGTTCTGTAAACAGACGTGTGTTCTGTAAACAGATGGCGTTCTGTAAACAGATGTGTGTGTTCTGTAAACAGACGTGTGTTCTGTAAACAGATGTCTGTGTTCTGTAAACAGATGTGTGTGTTCTGTAAACAGACGTGTGTTCTGTAAACAGACATGTGTGTTCTGTAAACAGATGTGTGTGTTCTGTAAACAGATGTGCGGGTTCTGTAAACAGATGTGCGTGTTCTGTAAACAGATGTGCGTGTTCTGTAAACAGATGTGCGTGTTCTGTAAACAGACGTGTGTGTTCTGTAAACAGATGTGTGTGTTCTGTAAACAGACGTGTGTTCTGTAAACAGACGTGTGTTCTGTAAACAGATGTGTGTTCTGTAAACAGACGTGTGTGTTCTGTAAACAGATGTGTGTTCTGTAAACAGACGTGTGTTCTGTAAACAGATGTGTGTGTTCTGTAAACAGACGTGTGTGTTCTGTAAACAGATGTGTGTGTTCTGTAAACAGACGTGTGTTCTGTAAACAGACGTGTGTTCTGTAAACAGACGTGTGTTCTGTAAACAGACGTGTGTTCTGTAAACAGATGTGTGTTCTGTAAACAGACGTGTGTGTTCTGTAAACAGATGTGTGTGTTCTGTAAACAGACATGTGTGTTCTGTAAACAGATGGTGTTCTGTAAACAGATGGTGTTCTGTAAACAGACGTGTATGTTCTGTAAACAGACGTGTGTTCTGTAAACAGATGTGTGTGTTCTGTAAACAGACGTGTGTTCTGTAAACAGACGTGTGTTCTGTAAACAGACGTGTGTGTTCTGTAAACAGATGTGCGTGTTCTGTAAACAGATGTGCGTGTTCTGTAAACAGATGGTGTTCTGTAAACAGACGTGTGTGTTCTGTAAACAGACGTGTGTGTTCTGTAAACAGACGTGTGTTCTGTAAACAGACGTGTGTTCTGTAAACAGACGTGTGTTCTGTAAACAGACGTGTGTTCTGTAAACAGACGTGCGTGTTCTGTAAACAGATGTGCGTGTTCTGTAAACAGACGTGTGTGTTCTGTAAACAGACGTGTGTTCTGTAAACAGACGTGTGTTCTGTAAACAGACGTGTGTTCTGTAAACAGACGTGTGTTCTGTAAACAGACGTGCGTGTTCTGTAAACAGACGTGCGTGTTCTGTAAACAGACGTGTGTTCTGTAAACAGACGTGTGTTCTGTAAACAGACGTGCGTGTTCTGTAAACAGATGTGCGTGTTCTGTAAACAGACGTGCGTGTTCTGTAAACAGATGTGTGTGTTCTGTAAACAGATGTGTGTGTTCTGTAAACAGACGTGTGTTCTGTAAACAGACATGTGTGTTCTGTAAACAGACGTGTGTTCTGTAAACAGACGTGCGTGTTCTGTAAACAGATGTGCGTGTTCTGTAAACAGACGTGCGTGTTCTGTAAACAGACGTGTGTTCTGTAAACAGACGTGTGTTCTGTAAACAGACGTGTGTTCTGTAAACAGACGTGCGTGTTCTGTAAACAGATGTGCGTGTTCTGTAAACAGACGTGCGTGTTCTGTAAACAGATGTGTGTGTTCTGTAAACAGATGTGCGTGTTCTGTAAACAGATGTGCGTGTTCTGTAAACAGATGTGTGTGTTCTGTAAACAGATGTGCGGGTTCTGTAAACAGATGTGCGTGTTCTGTAAACAGACGTGTGTGTTCTGTAAACAGACGTGTGTTCTGTAAACAGACGTGTGTGTTCTGTAAACAGACGTGTGTGTTCTGTAAACAGATGTGTGTGTTCTGTAAACAGACGTGTGTTCTGTAAACAGATGTGTGTGTTCTGTAAACAGACGTGTGTGTTCTGTAAACAGACATGTGTGTTCTGTAAACAGACATGTGTGTTCTGTAAACAGATGGTGTTCTGTAAACAGACGTGTATGTTCTGTAAACAGACGTGTGTTCTGTAAACAGACATGTGTGTTCTGTAAACAGATGTGTGTGTTCTGTAAACAGACGTGTGTTCTGTAA